TCGTTATCTATTTGCAAATCTTAACTCTCAAATTAAATTGAGTATAAACCCACTGTATTAAGTATGTTTTAGCTTTTGATTTATTCTTTATAAGGAAAAATCATGTTGGTTGATTGAAATCATTTACCAAAGTCAAGAAGTAATGACATCCAGAATAAGAATTTTTTTTATAAATGTCCCAAGTATCACAATGGACTAAATCAAAAATATTCATGGTCTTATTCATATTAATAGGAAAAGATAATCAAGTTTGTTTTCTCTACAACAAGCATCACAAAATAAGTTCTTGAAATTCAGAGAGATAGATAAATGTGGAACCAAGTGAATGCGATTTATTAGCAAATGCCCTAACCGACGATGCCACAAGTCTGCTTCAATTGTATCAACGGCAATGAAGGCCTTCTCCCCTCTCATCGGCTCTAAATAATGCAGACCATTTCGCTCTTTACCCACTCTGATAAGCTTCCTCGAGACTAAGTCCTAAAACACAAAAGATCTGGCAGAAAGATTACCAAACAATTTAAATATTTTGTCAATCTTCTAACATATAATAAATGGAAATAAAAATTGAGAATTCGCAAAACTTGTTCAAGTATTCATTTATTTTTTAGATCTATTTGACCAATGACATGAACTTTAACTATTACGTCATTAAGAATTTATATTGGTGGCATATCGGGTTGAAGAACAGGTTTAAACAAAGATTCAATATCACAAGTCATGTGATTTATGGCCCTTATATCCACGACCCACTCGTCATTCTCCTTACCCGAAAAATTAGAGGTTGCCATATTCGTATATAGATTACCTTATGTTCTTTCCAAACCCTTTAAAACAGCTAATAATTGTTGATGTCGTGCAAAAGTCAGACCTGGAATTAGCAATTTTATGTAGTCTTCTGATACAACAAAAGTTGTGTTGGAAGATGTCCTTGTTCCAGCAACATTCTCTAATTGATTTTTATGTTCACGAGACTGATTAGTTTTAACTTGCTTGCCACTCTTATTTTTTGTTCTACGTAATCTAATGAGTA